AAGAAAAATACTGCAAAAGGCTGAAAACCATAACTACACAGAAATTACGTTCTTTATTGTGTGGCCGAGAACGAGTTTATCCAGGGTGTGGTATGCTGGGTTCCTGTATTTCAACATCAGCTGTTGCTTACGCGGGGAAGAGAGGACAGATGCGTTTCCTGCATTTTGTTGGGTGCTCACAGTCTCACATTGCCAGCGACTGTCTCAGTGCTGCTGCCACAGCTACAGCAGCAAAGGCTGTAAGTCAGGCAAGGTTTGTGGGAGAGGTAAAAACTTTTATTAGACTAACTGATAGAGTTGAAAGTTTGTTTGTCCAAAAACTTGCCAGTTGTTCCAGGTATATCAGGTGGTTAAATAACAGGTATTATCCGCCATTGTGGATGTCTTGCATAGACTCATCATCGGGAATAATTTCAAAGTGTTTTTAAAATATTAAATTATTTTTTTCTCACAATACACCTAGGAGGTAGGTAAGCAGTTTTCTGGGCTTAGCCTTTAAAAGTGGTTAAAGAGGTTATGTAATTTTCCCAGAGCCAAACAGCAAACCAGTGGCTAAAAAGAGTTTCTAACTAAGCACCTCATCACTTGAAGAACACTTGCAGCCTAAGGAGAAAGCTCCCAGAATCACCAACATAACAGAAATGTGGGACCTCGACCCTGGTTCCAAAGGAGGGATGGGTTTTGCAGCTACTTTGGAGTCTGTCTGTGTCTAATTTCCTCTACCTGAGAACTGACACGCTAAAAAGTTGTTCTGTTTCCAGAATGAAGATGTTTTTGCTTGTGTGTTATACTAGCCTTCTGAAAATATTAACTGGACCTGTTCTGGATTTTGTATTAGAATATTTTTGTGACTGATATGATGGTCTCTAGAGAACTGAAACAGCCTGTAAGAAAAGAAACAGTTTTCTGTCTGGAAAATGTAAAGGAAATAGTTTTCAAACTGCTCGATTGACAGTGTTTTGTTGAATGGACCCAAAAGTCATATTGTAAGAAAACCTGTGGGTGTATAAACTGTTTTCCTATTGTGCCCGGCACAGTGAAAACTGTACTTCAGGCTCCCCAAAAATCTCCTTTTGCATCTCTCAATACAATAGTGTTTTAGTTGAAATGCTGCATGAGGGAAGATGCAGTCAGTGCAGGATGCCTGGACCACAGTAGGCGAAGGCAACTCTTCAGAACCACAACAACCACAAAAAATGCATCATCAGAATAAAACAGCCTCAAAACAAAATTTCTGGGGTGAGTTTAGCAAAACAAAAGGAAATGTTGGATTTTGGGGATGTCAGAGTGTTTTGTTTCTGTGGCAAATACCAGTAAGAAATCTGGGACCGACACTTAAAAATTTTTAATTCATAAACCAAAAGTTAGTGAAAGTTTCCTTTTCATGGCAACTTGGGAAGAACAGATGTTGAAGTGTCGAAGTCTTCTGTGAGACAAGGATTCCAAGTCCTGCGGGGCTCTCCTGTGAACTATTGCTACTATCCTCCCCGATTGGTACATTTTAAGTATAAGGATGTCAAAGGTACGGAATAATCATTCTGTTTTGTGAGTGGAACAGGGCCTATTAAGTTACTCACATCTGCGGTAAATAGTTAATTAGACACCTTGGTAGGTGTTAAAAAAACAACAATGTGAATGATCAAGTTGGACTTCTTTTCGTTTTACTCATGATGATTAGACTTTTGTTCTTTCTTAATAACCAAAGGCCAGCCAGGCAAGACTCACTCAGAGGAGTCAAGAATGGGTCCCGGGAGGGTAAATGAATCATGATGTGAAACTCCCATTGCAACAGAGAATTGTTTTCAAAACTAAAGTGCCTAGAGATAGACGCCATGTTTGCAGAAAAGCAAGTATAAGACAGAAAAATAGAGGTCAGACTGATCTGTTTCTAAATATGCTTTTTCTCCCCTTTTGAACAGGCACAGCGATGGAGAACTTGAATGTCCCGTTCCCAGATCTGACTGAAGAACAGCAAGGTAAGGGTAGCACACAAAGATCAAAGCTCCGGCTCATTCACACTACGCAAGTGTTTGCTAGAGCGGTCATGAGGCAATGAAACTTGTTTCCTCTGAAAACACACTCCATCCACCTCCTTGCTTGTGAAAGAGAGACCAGCAGTCAGTTCCCAGCTCTTCCACAGGCTTCTCATCAGGCCTTGGGCATGTGCTTGTGGGAATTTAGATGCATGAAGGAGATTTTGCTGTGCATTAAATGCCTAATGAGCTATCTCAATACCTTGGTGTCTTTGTGCCTGTCTGTAAAATAGCATGGTCAGAATAAGCATCTGTTAAATAGCTAGGAATACTTCCCCTGCTTCTTTAACTGAGACAGTAGCATCACAGAGACACCGGTAATTTGCCTGGGCTATTGACATTTTTCTACTGATTTCTAGCAGACTGAGTTGCTTTACACAATACAGCACTACTCTCTGTCCTATATGCTAACATGCTGCAGAGTCTGATGTCTGTCACCACGCCTTCACCGAGCACCACAGGAACACTACCGTGCAACCCACCGCTACTGCTTGCACGGTGATTTGCTCGTTTTTCTTCCCAGACATTTTCCAGAGGGTTTTTACTGCTGATGCCAATTACTTGGAGAATCATGAGAAAATGAACCAGTCCTTCTGGGAATCACTTGTAAAATGTTTAGCCACTACCGACCCACCTATCCTGAATACTGAAGAAAAGAACAATGTAAGTTACTAAAGAAACATGCATGCTTTGTAAGACACTGTTATACAGATACTTTTATACTTCTCTGATGTACTTTGTGGAGAGAAAACATACAGTCCAATTATCTGATATGCTAAAACATATCTAAAACATGCTAAATGCTGTAAAAGGGTGCTTAGATAAATAAGACTCAGGCCGCTGCTCTTTACTTCATTGTTCTCCATGTGAAAAAATAACTGGCTTTGTATAAATTCCTCAGGATCAGTTCAGCTCACTATTTTCTAGGCAGGACCATTGTTAGTGACATTTTGCTGTAAGATACTGCAGAGATTGCATGTCCATTTTCAGACCCTATAACTATATTTCTCCCGCTCTTTAAATAGCTAACATTACACACCATGGTTTTTTCCCAGTTGACGGCTCTGCTCCGAGTTGCTGAATGGAGTTTACGCTCTCTTCCCATCTTTGGCATTACTCTTTGTCCCCGATTTCCCCCTTATAGTAGGGGAAATCGGGGACATAGTATAGTAGGGGCAGGGGATTACATTTCCCACAGATGGGGTGAAATATATTCATTTGTATAGCAGGATGTTTTTGCAGGCTACGTTTTATTGGAAGGACTATTTGCTATTTACTTACCTTTCTTTCAGCTCCTCAACAGCTGCAATGTCCTGCCTGGAGGCTGTGCAGCCTGCCTGAAAGCCATAGAGAAGGAAGGAGTCAGGGCAATGGCTGTTCTTTACCTCTTGCTGAAGACAACCAACCCATCTGGATATAGGCAGCTGCCCAGCTCCAAGGGAAAGGGTGAGGCCTACCTGGCCGCTCGTCAGCTATTTTGTTAAAATTACTGCAGTGCCAGTGGGACTTGACACCAGTTTGAAAACTCTGATATATGCTTGGAAGTGATTATTACTGAACAACTAAAATGTCTGGAAATACTGTTTAGGAAAGTCAGTTAGGTATGGTGATAATGGGAGCCAAAGATAGTGTTTTACTTTAGTTTGGGGAAAAAATCTTGTGTGTTTAGGGAGAGAGGATGTCCTGGGATGATGATGCCAAAGAAATCTCTCTGACTTAAAGTGGTGCCCCAGTTTTTCCTGTCTGGCTGGATTCATGACACCCAGGACACTTTTTTGCATGGACTGTTATCCAGCCAGCCTGGACCTCTCTGAGCTCTCATAGTGGTAAGAAATCTGAGCTGAGCCACTAAACACACTTTTGCAAATGACCTAGCAGCACACGTAGAGGTAACAAAAAGGAGTGGATAGAGGATGATGCCACTCAGGGTGCTGAACCTGGCAGCAAGATACAAATAGACTCCACTGCACTTCTCATTTGCCCGGTTGTGCAATAAGAAACTAAGTGCAGTTCCACAGGGTCCATAGAGTCATTAATTGTCTTTAATAGATCATGGAGCTGCACTCACTTAAGATGACCCTGAACTGGAGACCCTCAAGGAGATCCTGTTCCTGTTTCTGCCTTGATCAAACATGTTAATGAAGGGGAGAGAGCTCCCAGCCTGGAGAGCAGCCCAGCTTTTGTCATCTGTCAGAGTAGGAAAGTTTGTCACAGCAGGGACCCCCTTCCTGCTCTTGTACAGTGAGCGGCATCGAGCAGCCCGGGGGGAATCACGTCTAGCTGCCTATGTCCAAATATTACAACTAATAATGAAGAGATGCACAGACCCGCCGGCCCTCAGCACAGAGCTGAATTTGAAGCTGTTAAGAATCCCCTGCAACTCCAGCCACACAAGCCAGGAGCACTTCACTGCCTGGCCCAGGAGTCAGCATCCTGCAGGTTTCTCCTCCCCGGTGGTTTGGCCTGGCTGGCTTTGCGGGCTTTGCTTTTATGCCACAAGAGGGTGCTGGCACTGCGGCATAGACACAGGGGACCCAGCAGAAATCACAGGGGTGAAGGGAGAAGTAGCCCAGGGAAGGGTGAGCAACTATTCTCCAGCTAAAGCATCTTTCAGCTGCAGCTGCTGTTGCTTCAGGGAGTGGGAATTTTCACAGGGGTAGAATTATGGGTAAATTAAAGGCCAGAATATGAAACTTTAGCCATCTATCACAACCATTTAAGAAAGTGTGAACAGTAGCGTATATGATGCTTTCATTTGTAATGCTTTGTACTACTCCTCGTGTGCAAAAAACACAGCTGAAACACGACTAAGGGTCTGATTTCCTGTCAGACAACTTTAATAAAGCATTGTGAAATCTGTTGTTGTAAAAAAGAGAAAATGTAAATAGTTGTTTCTAATATTTTTTTTCTCTATATATAAAACAGATGAAAAATTGAAACTGCTGAAGAGACTGGAAAAGAATCTCATGCTTTCACAAGGGGAAGAAAAGGCTGAAAACTCATCCCGTGAGTCCATGGATGAAGATACACAAGGTAAAGAGGATTTATTTTATTTTTCCCTGTCACATAATTTAGTCTGATTGCGTGTTCATAAGAGGTTCACATAGGAGACTTGCAGCAATTCAGTAGCAATTCTGCAGAACTCTGAAAAAAGTAAGAAACTGTGCAAAGAGAGAACGCAGAAAATAATCAGTACCTCTAGATTCATTATCAGCAAAATAGTGGCTGCCTCCCGCTCTTGTGAAGTTGGAGGTTTCAGAAACGTAGAAATCTGCTGCAAGATTTCTTCCCAAACAAAAGATCATAACTTCTATGATCTTCAGTGTGGTTACGGTCTAACTGGAGCCTGCGCTACAGCAGGAGGCAAAGAATAGTCAATGCACAGCAGTAGCTGGCAATGCTGTAGTACTTCTCTAGCATTTCTTTTCTTATTAGCAAACATCAACAGTGTATCTAAAGTCACTTTGGCTGCCACTGGACCATTTCATTCATGGAAAGTGAGAGAGGCTAAGTGACAGGCAACATGGAAGTGATAGTGCTGATACTGGCTTATTCTGTCACAGAAAGCCACTAGCTGATTAAGATCAAATGAGTTGCATTTAGAAATAAAATTTTCAAACTAATTAGCAGTGCTGATGATGTATGTGTTTAAAATAAGAACTTTCTCAGTACACCCCTTTATACAAATTATTCCAACTTCAGATTTTGCTGTTTTTCTCCTATTCAGCCAGCTTCGAAGAGAGCTGTGAGGCAAAAGCAGCTAATAATGCTCCTTGCATTTCAAAGCCTTGATTGTTACCTACATATCCCACGGCCGTTATTATATTATGAGCAAACAACTGCAGTGCTGTTGTTTCTGATACTGCTGGCACATTTTTCTTTAATCTGATGAAAAAACACTTTCTCTATCAAGACAGTGATGGGGAAGATTTAGGAAGACAGAAGACTGAAGGCCAATTACTCGGAGGTAGGACAAAGTGACAACAGTATTGGTTTTGACTAGAGACAACCAATATGAACCAAAAAAAGGATAAGTAAGTTCTGGCATTCTTTGGGTTACTTTTGAACAAAGGTATATTAACATGTATAGAGGTAGGAAAACGACCAGTCAGAATTTGGCTGTAGGAAAGGCATTTCCTACAAGGTGAAGCTCAAGTAATAGTAACACTCAGCCACGCCCTGTGCCTGGAGTTGAACCAGGAGAACAGCAAAATCTACTGTTGTGGGAGAAGTCCTGCTGCCTGCGCCTGCACAGTCGCCATTGAAATGCAGCAAGTGTTTTGAAAATATCTATCGCAGCCACTACTTACAGGGCCTGCAGTCAGCATCAGCACTGACTGGAGATCAGCAGCAAGGACCACACCTTGGATCTCATTCCCGAGGCTTTTCCTTTCCTTCCAAAGGAAAAATGGAAAATAAGTACAATGCAGCTGAAGAAAATGTGCTGTGTCAACACACAAAAATAGCTATCAGCTTATGGTATAGAACCATGGATGTAAAGAAGTTAAGGCTTTAATTGTTTAATTAATGTCTCAAATTGATCTCAGCCCAGATGTAAGAGCAGCTCTTTGAATTGACATTAGGAGACCTAATTTGTCTCACAGGAATCTGATTCTACCTGACTCCAGATATTGTGAGAGATGGAATATGGGGGGTTGATAATCCATTCATGTTTCCCACTTTCAAACTGCATAACCCTCAACGGACCTGCCCCCTCTAATGAGTTAGAGTTGGTATCTACCTTGTCATGTTTACACAACCACACTAATTTCAAGAGAGTTGCATGGGCTAGGACTGGCAGCAAGATATGCGTACTCATTACAGGTATTAATCTACATCATCTTTGCATAATATTTTAGGCACACCAGCAGAGGTTGTTCCCTACAGAGATTCAGGTAAGTGTTCCCAGATAACCTCATCCTGCTGGAAGGAAGACTGTAACTGCAGTTTCTTCTTTCTGACATGCTTATGTATTAAGAAATAACCCCCCAGCTGTAAATCCATTGGTTTCCAGTTAGCCTGGTGTTGGACCTGGGCATGGTGCAGACATTTTGTTGCTAGCTTGTCATAGTGGCTGGCTAATAGCAGCTGATCTGTACAAGGTGTTCTAGCAGATTAACCCATTTTTTTGTAGGCCTGCCAGGTTCTCACAAGATCAGCTCACAGCAGTTGTCATCCTTTTTAGAGGAAAACCCAGCAATTCTATTGGGCAGCTATTCAGTCTTTCCCAGGAAAGCTAGGCAGTTTTCAGCACGCCCTGCAGCCCTCTATCTCCTGGAACAGGGATGCAAGATTGAGAGGGAGCCGGAACCTGGTTTCTGCAAAACAGTGATACTCAGCTCTGAACACCTTCCTCCCTTAGCTCAGAGCATTCCCCAACAGAAGATGCTAGGTGAAAGCCAAACGACAAGCAACAGAGAACCAGTACCAGCTGAGAGGCTTGAACAGACAGCCACTCTAAAGGCAAATCAACAGAGAACCAGTACCAGCTGAGAGGCTGCAACAGCCAGCCAGTCTAAAGGCAAATCTCCTTTTATCAGGGACTGCTGTGCAGCAGCAGAACAGGTGTAGGAAATTTCCAATGGCTTGATTGCATTACCAGCCTCATCCCTCCCACTCCCAGGCCAGTGCCACACTCATTAGTTACGAGGGGCAGACAGCCCAGCAGACTGTCCTTTTTGAGAGGACACCTGCTCAACCACTTTTCTTCTGCGGAGCAGGGAATAGTTGCTGTGACTTGGACTGTTTCAGCTGAGGACAGAGTTGGGAAGAAGATACAAGTTGCAGCATAATCCCTAGGGGAGGTTTTTGAGTTACCTATTCCCAAGAAGCTACATAAAATACGAGGGTAGATGGATATATTGTAATACAGTGTTCTCCCCACATTGCCAGGTGCAGAAAGAGGATTACAGTACTTTTCCAGTTGGCATTTGGCCTCTCCACCTCTCACCATGGCCTTTGTTGCTTCAGTTCTAGATTACTTCAATAAGTACCAGACTGAGACACGGGAAATATTTAGCTAGTGCAGGACGCCATGCCTACTGCACTGTACAGGTTCAGGTGATACACACATGCAGCACTTGTGATCCCAGCTCTGCTTGGTTTAGAACCAAGCTTGCTTCACTTCTAGCAACTGAATAGTAACACGGAGGCCATCAATCTTCTACTGCCCAGCTATTTCAAAGAACCTGGGATCACTGTGAATAGTCACTTTTATTGTTATCTGCTGTTGAGCCCTTTTAACTTTCTTCATTTCCTGGCACTTTCAAGTACTGTTTTGTCTGTACTGAGTCACCAATAGGTGAATACTTGCCGTGCTTGCTAGTGCTGATAATGGTGGGAAACAATATGTTTGTATTTTTACCATCAGAAATAATAAAACTATGTTGCTTTTCAGAGATTACCAGAAGAGAAGATTCAATTGCAGATGGTAAATACAAACAAGCGAACAGAAGTTTTTCTTGCGCATGCTGTCTTTCAGGACTGAGTTTTGCTTAGTAGCGATAGCTATACCAGCTCCTCGATACCTAGATATTTCCTAATCAAAAAGTAGAAGTTTGAGAATAGTTATTAAAATGCACTGTAATGCTTTAACAGGAGAAATACTGTGCAAGTCATTCCATGATACAAAGTTACAGTGGGACTACTGCATTCAGGAGGCAGAGTAATACAGAACAGACACTTGCCAAGTATGAATTGATGTTCTGATAAATTCTGTGTCTATAGATCATTCATACCACTGCACAGAGCAACATTTGTGAGTCAGAGTAGTGCAATGCTATGTTAACATTAATAATCAAATAGCTGAGTTTGTCCCCAAACTGGAACTTGATCAATCCAGAATGCTCAAAGAATCAAAAATTTAAAAAATGTGACTCCAGTATCAGGTGACCCAGAACAGAATTTCTTGGCAAAGTTTAGTTGCTTCGTGGTTCGAAAGCACAACAGCAAAAGTCTGTAGCTCGTTTGGAGTACATTTCCCGTACTCTCCCGAAACATCTTTAGAGAAAATTAAATTCATTGCCAGGCAGTGGTTGCCTGGAAGCACAGCCCGATGTAAGTGAAATCAGCATCTAAAACTTGCGATGAATCAACTCCCAAAGGCTTATATGCAGCAGACTGCCTAGGGGTCTTCTCAAGTGATCAACAAGCGAAAAAGTGAAAAACCACCTGCTTTGAACACGTCATTGGAAATCTGGTAAAATATTCAGCTCTTTCTGACTTTCGACAATACAATTGGAGAAAGAACAGAATTTGGCAACTCTGCTCACAACTAGCGTAGAGCAAAATGCTCTCTACTTAAACCTCTAAAAATATCCGGCTTGTTCTTATAGCTGTTCTTTCTATGTATCAGGATAGCTATCTATAGGAGACTAATTGTCAGCTACAGTTCTTAATTTGGGGGGTGCAGAAATACTTCAGCATTGGGCTCAAGTAGGTTGCTGGTACTCATACGCTTAGTAATGAAGATGGTTAGATTATTGTAGCTGTGATTGTGCAAAGCACCCAAGAATCAAACTGAAGCTCCCTTGTACTACTGCTTCACTCCCCCACTGTAATTCTGAGACTATTGATTGTCCCAGACTGGACAGAAAAGGCCCAGAGTGCTCTAAAACAATTCTGAATTGTTAATGCAACCATTAACATGATTATGCTTTTTTTTTTTTTTTTTAAAAACCTGCTCTTTTTGGGGTGATTTTAAATTTGCTAACTTGATCTTCCTGAACGGCTCGCAGATCTTTCCTTTGAACAGTTTTACATATAGTCTGCTCTGAGAATTGATTTCAGATACAAAAAGGGAAATAAACTTAAAACTCCTTAATTTCAGAGTTCCATGGCAATAAAAGACATTTCTTTTTTGTAGCATATGAGAACGAGAACACTCGCCTCCACCAGTGGACGGTACGGTGGATGGGCATACGGAAGGATGGTAATTTTTTTAATTTTTTTTCTTTTAAATTCAACTGATGTCAACCCTGTTGAACTTTAGTCCACAAACAAGATCTCTGGTCAAAAAAACCTCCCCCCCCCGACACAAGTACTTTGTTGAAGTGCATCGAGGCTTCTCAATGAAAATCATCAAGGCTTCTCATAACAACTTGTGTGCATGTAGGTTTTGCAGTTGGGTCTAGTGTACGAGACATCTCATGTGGTAACAGACTTTATTGGCCGAGTGATACACTGTACCTTAAGGTGCATTCCTAAGGGCCATGCCTGCGGTTGTGACCTAATTTTCTCTCTCCATTTCAGATGAATTCTTTCATTTTGTCATTCTTTGCTTTGCAATTGGAGCTTTACTAATTTGCTACTACTACTACAAAGGTAAGGCAAGACTTCAACGAAGGATAAATTGTTGCACGCTAGAAAAATGAACAAAGCCAAACATTTATTTTGTTGCCTTAGATTGGACTATTTCTCTTGGAATTGGTTTAATCACCTTTGCTTCCCTGGAAACCACTGGGATATACTTTGGTCTAGGTAAGTGTATCTGCAGCAGCCAGCTCTGTACCAACGCTAAGGACACAAGGTCACACAGTCATTAAGCTACGCGAGTCTGTAACACTGCTAGTGCCGAGATTCTGTAAATCCTCACCTAACTATCCCGTAACATCTCATTCGCAATTACACAGTGTGGCTGGAGACAAGCATGCCTTAGTGACACTGACGGGAGAGGTTGACTCATTTTTCGTTCTCAGTGATCACAAGACTTTGCATCACCTCTTTCTGCAGCAATGGCCGAATGCTAAGTTGCCATGACAACGTATAATTTTAGCAGCAAGGCAGTCTTCCCAGATACACTCTATAAGGTGCTGCGCACTCAGGCTGCCACTCATTCCCCTGGGACTGAGGCGGCTGAACGCCCTGAGGAAGAGCTCTCAGCAGAGCCTGGATGGCGGCAGCTACTGAAAATGATACTAAAAAAATGGGCATTCTTGGCAATCCCTAGGGATGTCGTAGGAAAGGTGCAACTAGCAGCAATTTTGGCTTCCCAACTGAGAACAGAAGTCTCCGTTGTAATCGTGTGCTAATATTTTTGGTAGGTTGTGGATGGTTCTCAGGAATCAGCCTTCTCACTACTTTGTTATTAATGATATCGCAAAAGCGCTTGTTTAAACAGTAGTCTTGGGTTCATTAATGTTGCAAGTGTCAGTGTTTGGTTTTTGCCATTTTTCTATTTTTTACGTTTTACCTTGCTATTTGGCTCATCTTGAAAAAAATGTTTGTTTTCACAATTAGTGTATCGAATTCGGAGCGTACTTGACAGTTTTGTTCCTCTGATTGACAAATTCAGGCCAACAGGTAATAGTGATCTTCTTACTGACTGCATACGTATTCCCTAGACCTTCCTGGGTACTTCATTTTGGTCAAGTCTTAAGACTAACTTCTCTAAATTACAATTTCCAAACTTCTTAATTAAAAAAAAAAAAATTACTACAGTTCATTACAGCTGCTTGGGTTTGAAAAATGCATTATTCTTGACTCTTTCCATGTGGCAGAGCATTTTCACATTTTTAATACTCTGCCCTGCGTGGGGTATTAGCTATTTCCTGACAATGTCTGAATAAGAATGCTATAGCTCAATTAAAAATTCAGGGAGTGGGGGTGGGTTTCTCTTGTCGGGTCTTCAAACAGACTCCAGGCTCATGTTTATCTGTGTTCACGAACACAAAACATGAAGAATGCTGAAAAGCTGCATAGACACATGACAGTTTGAACACAATAGTCCTGACAGTCTCCTTTTTCTTCATCACGCAGGTATGAGGAAAGCTGCCTAGGAGTATTATTTCAGGAGAGTTCCACAAAACCCTGCTGTCTGAATTTCTAGTATTAAAAGAACTGCCTTATGAGGCAAACATAAAAACCTAATGGCTAATGTTAAATATTGAAGTGTTAAACCATAGAAAGACATTATTCCCTCCCCTTAAAAATAAAGCTGAAACTGCATTACGGGGTCCCATTCTTTCTTCTGAAGTGATTCGTGGCTCAGCGGAGCTCGTAAGACAATCTAGATGTAGGTTTAGATTTAATTCCATTAAATATAAACACATTCTCCTTCCCTCCCCCATGCAACCACGTTAATCTGGCTATGGTGTATCAAAATCAACAAAATAACCAATATTATCCTCCGCTGGTTCTGGATTAGGCTCTGGATGTTTCAGTAGGAATCCTGGCAACCACAAAGCCACCTCCTCTTCACCCCTTGTGATGCTGCAAACCAGGCAAACACCAGCTGCTTGATTACAGAGTTGAGCCCCAACAGTGCACTAGCACTGAAGCAGATTAATTTATTGTGGCAGAACTCAATATAGTGGGCGTATAATGATTTCACCCAGTGAAAGCTGGGTGAGATTTTACATGCAGTGACATAATGGTGCAGTAATGAGATTATTAACAGCAGCAAATCTCATCTCTTCTTCTGAGGGGAGAAACAAAGTGCTTGATTTGACTCATCCCCCAACATTTTTCTTTCTTTGAGGAAAAGAAAGTGCAACTTTGACGTTCCTTTCATTTTATAGGGACATTTCACACATTATATATGTAGGGCTAATGCAATCATAGGTAGACTGCAAAAAAGGGGATACCTTTAAATTTTATTAAAAATGTCAGGTCTTCATACCCATAGAAGGTTGAAGGCATCGAGTCAGACAGAAAGAACCATGAAACATGAAATTGTAAGGAAATGTAGATCTAAAAGCCATTAGCCCAAGTAGTCTAGAGTTTTAGAGAAGCAATTTCAAGCCTTGCTCAGAAAACTAAAACACTTACTTTTTTAGTTTTACTTAATTTTAAATGTTAAGCATCAGTGTTGATCCTTCTTGTGTGTTGCAGTTCCATTTGCACATCCAGAAATACCAGCAATTGTATTCAGGCCTGTAGCAACACAGCACAGCAGTCACCTAACACGTCAGGGGTTAAATTAAGCAATAAGGATGAATACAAGTTATTTTCTAGTATCTATATTCTCATTTACATGTACTATTTACATGTCTTTGTAGAAATAGTCTGTGATACCCAAATACTGTATATTTTGTGTTGTGAGATGAACAGCTGACCCAACTTAGAGCAGCTCACGTGAGAAGATTCAGTTCTATAGAAAAAAGCAACTTACATGTTCAGCCGCATCCTCTCGGGTATCTGGGAATTTCCTGTTGTTCTTTCAGATCCTTCTTCTTGAGTCCATCTCAGCGTTGTAAACATTCCTGCCTCTTGCCCAACGGCAATGCTCTCATTCTGGTCTCACGTATCACCCTTGCTGCAGCACTGGCCAAGCACTCAAAAATACGAGTTCCTACGAAGAGTTTCAACCTCCTTAAATGACCTTGTGCTCACTGAGCTACCATTCTCCAAGTCCAGCAAGCCCCTCCCGAGCCCACGGCTCACCACTCATTCCCACAGCTCTGCTGGGCCTCCACCTCCCCCGGTTGGTTCCCCAGGACCTGGTACATCTCCTTCCCCTTCGACGCTATCCAGCACATAGGGTGCTTCCTTCTTGTCTTTGTTTTAAACGGCTGGGGGGCAATTCAGAGGGGAGGAATCGAAGCAAAGGCACTAGCCCCCCTCCTCCTGCGACACATGTTCCTGCCTTTCACTATCCAGTGCCTAACGCTTCTGTCCAGAGGAGGGGCTAGTGAACTCTTCTGGCAGAGCAGGAAGAACTCGTTTTCGCCAAACTCCCTTCAAGACAGGATTTTAATCTTCAGCAGTAAGTTGGAGCAAACATTGAACAATAGTTACTCCACTCGCTCTAGGCTACAGTGCCCAGCGTCTATTTCCCTGCTGAAGCACAGCCCGCTCAGTAGCACAGCTCACAGTAGGGAAGGTTAGTTGCAAAGCAGAAAATGCTCCTGCCATACAGCAGGCAGACAAAGCGCTGCTGCCCACAAATTGTTAAATAACCTGAAGGTTTTTCAATGACTGAAAACATTCAGATGTTACCCCACTGCACAAAACCCCACAGAGAAAAAAAGAGATTAAAAACAGAAGGTTTTTTAAGCTGGTATTTTTATTAGAACTCGCTACATAAAGCACCTTTGCCTGCCTTAAACTTACAGTACTTCTCTGAACACTGCTTTTCTGTAACACAGCACAAGATGCTTCAAACTACTCCGCATTTCTTGATTTGGACACTGCCACCTTAACAGCTTGCACAATGGCATCTTTATCAATGCCAAACATCTTCAGGAGCTCAGCTGACTTCCCGCTGCGTGGTACATGAGATACAGCCAAGCGATTGACTGTGATACCGGGCTCACCCACTACTGCAGCGCACACCGCTTCCCCAATGCCACCTATGAAAAAAAAAAGTCAAACACGACATACATCTGTATGCTTCAACAGGCAACATATAGATTGCACGTATATCTGATTCAAAGGTCCATGCAAGTTAAATCCTCAATTCACATGCTTATGAGAAACATCAATCACAATATATGTCTGAATTACCCATTTGTGAAGTGAAAACAATTCCCTATTTCAAAGGCATTCTGAGGACAACCAGCCTGACATTTCTGAAGTACTTACAAATTGGCAGTAAGAAACATACACCTCTAAAGGGCACAGAACTGTCAGGAAGCCCGCACCTCTTCAGCATCAGCCACCGAGGGCCAGGTTTAAAAATCTATTTAGACTGAGGAGTATTTACAAGTGTACTTAACGTGCCGAAAGTCTTAATTCCCACCAATCTCAACAGCATTTAAGAGCTCCATCTTTTCACAGTGCCTGTACATGCCGCTGGGCACCTCTCTGAGTTATGTAATATATTCACAACCTTTGCTTAGAGCTCAGCTCAGACTGAATCACTATCAGTCACAGGGACAAAGGATGCAACAGAGAACCGCGTGGCGGCAGGAGAGACACTGGAAGCAGGAGTACTAAGGAAGAAGAAAACACAGGAACAGTGTCAAGAGCACGTGCTCTGAGACCTGGTAGGAGAGACACCTTGATGCTGCACTTCAGTTAGGGTGTATCCAGGAACGCAGGGCTTTTCACAGCTCCGGGCATGGTGTGATTTAAGCCGTCAGACTTCGCCTCCAGCCAGAGGCACCTCCATGGATGCGGCTGGTAAGATCAGCCTGATGTGGGCTTGCAATGCACTCAGGCTTGTGATGCGTGTACACTTGACCTTCCTTGATTGCATCACACAGAGAAAGCTGTGCCAGTGTAAATCACATGTTCATCACCTCAGAGTGTGATGACTTTGCCATCTTGCAAATCTGCAGCACAGTATTTGTCCAGAGTTGAAAGATAAGCTAGAAAATGATGAGGCTCAGTGATGCTATCACCATCCATAGTCTGGAACAAAAGTATGGTGTAACCAGCACTTATGATAATACCAGATCACTTCAGATACCTGGCAAGAGTGATGCTTCACCTTAAAGTAGGATAATATTCTCATAATATCTACTAATTTCTATTAGCAGATATCTACAGTATCTACGAATGCCATAGTTCAGAGCTGCCCCTCTGCTAATTTCTCCATCTCCCCCCAGGAGGAGCAAGCCTGACATGCAATTCGTAACAGCTGCTCTCTGTTTGCATATTGTCTCATCTTCACAGGACATGTTTGCACAGGCAAGCCCCTGAAAACCTGTGCAAACAAGGCATGTCAGAGAGCAAGCGGCAGCAGATTATGGAGTTAACTCCAGCTGGCGGCCGGTCATAAGCGGTGTTCCCCAGGTCTCAGTACTGGGTCCAGTTTTGTTAAATACCTTTGTCAACGATCTGGACAAGGGGATCGAGTGCACCCTCAGTAAGTTTGCAGATGACACCAAGTTGGGCGGGAGTGTTGATCTGCTCGAGGGTAGGAAGGCTCTGCAGAGAGACCTGGACAGGCTGGATCGATGGGCCCAGGCCAACTGTATGAGGTTCAACAAGGACAAGTGCCGGGTCCTGCACTTGGGTCACAAC